TTGCTGTGGACGATGTAATAGCGGACAGATTATTGAAAGGTAAATATATGATAAAACGTGATTGTACGATTATAGTGTATAATTTGGTCAGTATTGAAATACTAAGCTTTCTTTTTCAGAGGCCAACTATCTCAATGAATTCTTTAAAAATTTGATTGGGACAGATATTTGGCCGTCATTAGGTTTGCCTAATGACTTAAATATTGATGATATCAAACTTATTGAAGATAGATCTAATATAGAAAATGATACAGGTAAAATTTTTTTTCGAATAATACTTACGTGAATTACTTTAGTTATTAATTTTTGTATTACATTAACAGGAAAGGACCAAAATTATTCAACGAAGAAAAGAGGTAAGCATATGATTTAGCATCTGTCTTCCAGCAAACATATCATAAAATCAGAAATAATTTTAGTTTAGCTATTCTTGACATTTTTTTATTTCCAATTTTACAGATGTATGGACAGATGCCATTATTAAATTACTAATTTCAGAGAGACTGGCACTTGAGGAGCAATTTGGAAAGCCAGGAAATAAAAAAAAATTATGGATGAAAATACACAGTATAATGGAGTCACATGGGTATAATTTAACTGCTGAAGACTGTGATATGAAATGGAGAAATTTGATAGCAACATATAGGAAAAACAAAGACAGGGCTAGAAAGAGTGGCGAAGGTTGCATCACCTGGCCATATTTTCAATTATTAGATAAAAAATATGGTTATAAAACCAACATATCACCTCCAGCAGAAACACTATTATCTTCTCTTCCCTATCTACTCCCAACCTTCACCTATATTGGCACATCGAATTCTTCTGAAAACTCTACCTTTGCAACTACTTCTAGTCACAATTCTTCCGAAAACTCTACCTTTGCAACTACTTCTAGTCACAATTCTTCCTCATCCTCTCTAATCCCTAACCAAAGTGATACTCCACATTCAAAAAAACCAAAACTATCAAAAGAAGAACCTCCAGCATGGTTTCAGAACTATGTTGAAAATAAGAAAAAAGAAGATAAAGAAAAAGAAGAAAGAGAAGAAAGACGTTGGAGGGAATTTCAAAAGATGGAAGAAGAGAAACTTAAAAGTTATGAAGCAATTATTAGAAATATTGAAAAAATAACTGAAATGCTTTTATGTACATATTTTTATACAAAATAAATATATATATATTGTTTATAACTATAATTTTGGTTTATTCTTTAATTTGTGGATTATCTAGAAATAAACTTTAGATGGAAGTTTTAGGGATGTTTCAGCATATTCAATTTCTTAGTTATTATTACTGGTTCTTGGTATTATATGTATATTTTTAAGTTTGTGCATTAAATATAAAATGAAGTGTGTTTTACTAACATTGCAAAGGCTCATGGACAGTATTTTTTGATAAACACTTTTCTGTAGATTCAATAATTTCAATAGTATAGAGATAAACATTTATTCTATATCAACTATGTTTAATACAATCTAAAAGATTTATATTGTAATGTTTGTAAATCACAATTCATAAGAAGTTACCAATTATGTATACTAATAAATATTTTATTAATGTAGTGTTTATCTGTTTGACAAACTTAGGGCAAGTAGACAAAGATTACAATTTCATTACTTTTACTCTCATTATATGAGTAAATTTTATTACATTACATAAATCTACATGTTAATTATATACAACAATTTTAATAAGAGAAATTTGTTTGTTAAATTACATTAACAATTTGCCAGTAAAAATAATCTATTAGCAATGTGTTCTCTTTTTTTTTACTCCATCAACTCTATTCACTTCTGTTCTTTGAGAAAAATTTACAGGGACAGTTGTATTCCAAGATGATGAAACATTATCAAACACATCTAAAAATTCACCATTCTCTAAAATGCATAAATTATGCAGAATACACGCTGTTACAATAACTTGGGGGATTCGATCAACTCTAAACATAAACAAATGGTTTAGTCTTCTAAATCGCCCAAATAATTGTCCAAATGCTTGTTCAGTGACGACCCTACTCGAACTTAAAATTTGATTAAAAAGTTTCTCTTTCCTTGTCAAATGACCATTGTCTTTATAGGGTATCATCATACTTGAAGAAAGCGGATAAGCTCCATCTCCAAGGAGATGGGCCCCTTCTGGAATCATAGGGTTTTTTTCTAGGGCTTCACAGAGTGGTGAGTTGCTCCAAACTCTGCAATCGTGTGAAGATCCTGGCCACCCTGCAAACACATCTGTAAACAATAATTTGGAATCACATACTGCTTGAAGAATTACAGATGTATACTGCTTTCTATTAAAATATGCATTTTTTGATGCTTTTGGGGCTGATATCGATATATGGGCTCCATCTATACATCCAATTACATCTGGAAAGCTTATATCTCGTAAGGTCTCAAAGTTCCTTATGGTGCTTTTAGCTTTTTCACCTTTGGGCCAAACAATAATTTTAGATCTTAACGAAGACACGGTTTTAATAAAATATACAAATTCTCTATAGGCATGTCCTCTGCTTATTCCAAATCTGTCCGCAACGCCACGAAACGACTCCTGATTGCCTAACAACCATAGAGACATCAATACAACTGTTTGTAGTGATGTTTCTCTTAGTCCTGTTCGACCAGGGCCAGTCCTTTGTTCAGGAAGCTGTTCCATTAACCTCTAAAATAAAATATCATATTATAGTATAACACAATTATTTATTTTTAAACATTAATAAAAAGCTAAAAAAGCCGAATAAAGCAATTTTTCTGTAGATAGTTACTACAGCTAACAATTCTTAGCAGAGACTTACTTCGACAGTGCTTCTAGAAAGACGAAAATGAGACTTAAAGTCCATGTCGTTGTATCTGGGAACGATATTTTCGACATAGCCTTCTATTTTGGCTTTTTTCGATTTTTCCACTGCAGCAGCATACAGAAATGGAATATCTTCATTATCTTTTTTAGATTTAAAAAACAT